ATATAAAAAAATTGTATGAAACTTATGATATTAAATGTATCAATTTATTTAATGACATATAAAAATTATATGAAAATGTGATATAAAAAAATTGTCCTTATAGTATCACCCAACAAACAAACACTAAGACAGCTAAGACACTTCTTAAGTGAACCCCACTTGAATTAAAAAATATAAAATTTTGGAAATTGATATTGAAAATGAATTGACATAAAATATGTAGTTAATTAAGCAAAATAATCTTAATTAATGAAAACATATCAATTCTCTCTGTTAGACATCTCCTACGTCAACTGTGGGTCTTCTTCTTGGGTATGCTCTCTTTCTTTGCAAATTTTCTCACTTACTAAACAAGTTGAGAAAAATTACTTCATCAACCTTTTGACAAGAATTTTACAATTTGAACCCTTAAAAAAAATGAAAATCAACCAAACTCCACACATTGGAACCTAGAAATCTAGGTTTGTGGGTTCCAAATGACCTAGAAATCTGGGTTTCAATCCCAGTTTCATCTCCCCCTCAATTAATCATGGCACTACTGTTGGTCCTCATTCAAAGAGCTAACTCAGCCAAGGTTCAACTCTTCACCCTCCTATGGCTGTCAAACTGCAACACGAGTGTAGCTCGGGACATGTGACTCACCATTCAGCAAGCTCAGGTAATGGTCGAGATCCTCAGTTTTTGCTTGGTTCTGATGACTTTTATAATTATGAGATGAGTAAGTCTCATATCTTCACTAACCAATGGATGGACTTTACCAATTTCGTCAACCAAAACACAAAGAATGGTAGATGAGAGAAAATAGTACAAAGAGAAACAAGAAGCCACACCCAAAAAGAAGAAATGATTCTAGAACCCATTTTTGCAGACCAAACCAAAAGATTTAGAAACCATTTTTGCAGACCAGCGTTTTTTCACAGGAAAGGGAATCCAGATTAGCATAGAGCATTGATTTAAGAGACCAAAAACTCTGCAACAATTAGGGTTCTTCATCAAAATTCCACTGTGCAGCATTGAAGAACTTAGACGGATTCGATCTACCGCGCAAAACTTGAAATTACAACAAAACAAGAGAAATTTGGAAGAAAAACATAATTTTTTGGAATCAGCAAACTTAGAAGGTCTTCACTTCCGTAACCCAACGCCGATGGACTTGAAAGCAAGAACTTGACTGTATTTACGTGATCTCACTAACCTAGATCCAGGTTCATCAACCCAGCACGAACCCAGATTTGGTTTCATGAGTTCAAAAGAAAGCATGAGAGGGAAGGGGGGGAAATGGGCACCTGAAAAGGGGAAGAACAAAGGCCAGAAAAATGACGAACAGTGTTGGTTCAATGGGAGGAAGATGAAAGGGGTGGCAAAGTTTTGAGAAGGAAGAAGAAGATGGTAGAGGTAATTTTGTTATTTCAAAAGTTTTAATATTTTAATTTTTAGATGGCTTTATTCCGCGCACGACATGAAATCTGAATTGGGTTTTTTATTTTTCTTTCAAGTAAGCTTACGTGGTGATATTGTTATTATCACGTCAGCAAAGATTAGAGGAAAATGTCATTGTAGACAAATTTAGCGAAATCCATCACTTAATTTACGGAATAATTAAAAATATCTATTTTTTTATAATTAAGAGATAAAAAAATAATGGAGGGATGAATTGTATTTAAAAATAAAAGTTTAAGGATTAAATGTGACATCTAACCTTTCTGAAATGATGACAAAACATGGTTATTGAACCTCTTGTGCTAGTTGCCCCTGAGCCTGTATGTTCTTGTTAGAAGCTTAAAAGAAGGGGAAATATCTGAAGAAAAGTTTATTGTTTTTTTAAATAATATTGTATGTACAATGATCTAAATATAGATGTTTACAAAGAGAATATTTTAATGTATAAAATATATAAAAAGAATATTTTAAGGTATAAAATATTTACAATAAATGTGTTCACATCTTAATATCCCCCCTCAAACTCAAGGTGGTTGCGATGAAACCAATTTGAGTTTGGAAAGAAGAGTACGAAAGCGTTCAGGAAAATGAGCTTTGGTGAAAAGGTCTGTTGGTTGATCAACGAAACTAATGAAAACCAAATGAATAATTCCTTGTACAACATGATAGGGAATAAAGTGACAATTGACCTCAATGTATTTAGTGCGTTCATGGAAGACATCATTGTGAGCAATCTACATGGCACTCCGATTGTCACAATAAAGATTAGTAGCAGGTGGTTGAGGAACACCTATATCTTCTAGTAACCAACGTAAGTTAAGTAACTCTAATGTGGTATCTCTAAGTGCTCGATATTCAGCCTCTATGCTAAAATGTGACGGAACTGTCTGCTTCTTGCTACGCCAAGAGATTAAGGAATCACCAAGAAAAAGACAATAGCCAATGGTTGATTTTCGATCATTAGAGTCTCCAACCCAATCTGCATCAAAGTAAGCACGAAATTCAAGAGATGAACAAGCAGAAAAGTGAAGTCCATGAAAAATGGTACCTTTAATATAGCGAATGACGCAAAGTATTGCTGCATAGTGAGTGGAGCGAGGTGTAGCCATAAACTAGCTAACAACATGAACTACATAAGCTATGTCTAGTCGCATTGTAGTGAGATAAATCAAACTTCCAACCAATTGTCTGCAGCAAGTAGGATCAGCTAATGGAGAACCATCCATAGATGTAAGTCGAACATTTGGCTCAAAAGGAGTGGATGCAGTCTTACTATCAATGAGTCCAGCTTTTGATATAAGATCAAAGGCATCTTTTGTTTGAGAGAGAAGATAACCATCATTAGAAGAAGTGACCTCAAGTCCTAAGAAATAACTCAAAACACCAAGATCTTTCATCTCAAACTTCTAATTGAGAAATTGCTTAAGATCATGAATACCTGAAATATCATCCCCAGTAATGATCATATCATCTACATAAAGAAGTAGTAGAACCATACCATGATTAGTCTTGCGTATGAACAACAAAGTATCATGAAAACTAAAAGTAAAACCAAATTCACTAATGGTGGTACTAAACTTGGCAAACCAAGCTCGAGGTGCTTGTTTCAAACCATATAAAGCTCACTTCAATTGACAAACTTTGTTTGGAGGATGCTCAAGTCTAGGAGGTGGTTGCATGTAAACTTCCTCTGCAAGATCACCATTTAGGAAGGCATTTTTCATGTCCATCTGAAACAATTTCCATCCTTTTGCAACAACAATAACAATCAAACTACAAACTGAAATAGGATAAGCAACAGGTGCAAAGGTTTCCTCATAATCAATCCCATATTCTTGAGTAAATCCTTTAGTAACCAAACGAGCCTTGTAACGCTCCACAGAACCATCAGACCAAGTTTTGATCTTGTACCCATTTACCACCTACTAGAGGCTTTCCAGCAAGAAGATCAACTAAATCCCATGTACTAGTTTTCTTAAGAGCTTATAATTCATCTTGCATAGCTTGCTGCCAAAGATGGTTAGAAAAGGCCTCTTGATAGGATTGAGGCTCATGTAAGGAGTTAATAACAGGAAAATAATGATAGTCATGAAGATAGTTAGGAGGATTTCTTACCCAAGTAGGATGACTTGAAGGTGGATTAAGGTTCTCATTTTCGGGCTCAACAGGGTCAGATCCAATAGGTGATATAGAAAAGGGAAAGGAAGAACACTCACCATTGTCTAATGCATTACCAACAGGTAGAGTATCTTCTATAGAACTAGGTGGAGCATGTGGAGACGCATCATGAAGCTCATCAAATGTATCTACATCAGAGTCACTAGGAAATAGCTCAATAGAAGGGTTAGTAAAAAGTGGAGATTGATCAGAAGATGACACCTGGAAGTTTGATAACGAAGAAAACATAATGTGTTCCTAAAAGACAACATGACGTGAGACTCAAAGTTTTTGTGACACAGGATCCCAACAACGATATCCTTTATAAGTAATCCCATAACCCAAAAAACAACATAATCAAGTTTTAGGCTCTAACTTGTTTTGTTCATGAGGTGGAAGAAGAACAAAACAAGCACAACCAAAAACCTTAAGAAGATCATAGGCAGGAGGAATACCATATAAACATTCGTATGGAGACTTATTATTGATGACTGATGATGGAATCCGATTAATGAAATAAATAGCTGTAAGAGTAGCTTCACCCCAAAATCGCTCTAGACAAAAAGATGAAATGAACAGAGCACGAACAGAATCAAGGATGTGTCTGTGTTTACGTTCGGCTCGCCCATTCTGTTCAGAAGTGTAAGGACAAGATTGTTGTGCCAATGTACCCTATTCTTTCAGAAAGGATTGAAGTTTAGTACTAAGATATTCAGTGACATTGCCAGTCCTCAAAACTTTGATAATTTTAGAGAACTGGGTTTTGACCATGGTAGCAAAATCAATATAAATTTGTGGTAACTCAGAGCGATTTTTCATAAGATATATCTAGGTAAAACGAGTATGATCATTAATAAATTACACAAAGTACCTGGAAACCCCTATGGTAGGTGTCGGAGATGGACCCCAAACATTAGAATGCACAAAATCAACAGAAGCAACAGAAAGAGAATGCTTACTAAAAAAAAAAATAAAACTAGTTGTTTTGCAGATTGACATGACACACAATGTAAGGATTCATTTGGAATAGATCCTAATGAACCATGAGAGATAAGAGGATGGAGTTTACCGACTGAGGTATGTCCGAGTCGTGAGTGCCATAAATAAAGAGGAGAAATGTTAGTAGCAACACAGGCTTGGAAGATTTGTTGATATGGAATTTGCAAATACTGTAATTCAACAGCACAAAGTAGGGTTTGGATGAATCTATCATTTGGAAATGATGGTGTATCCATTTTATGATGAGGAATGAGTATATAATTGAGCTCAAACAGATGCCCCACCTTGCGACCAATTCCAAGAAGTTGTTTTGTCTAAGGGTCCTGCACACGACAACCATGAGTAGAAAATATTATTTCAAGACCAAGATCACACAATTGACCAATATATAAAAGATTATAACTAAGTTTTGGAACCAAGAAAGTGTTTGGTAAAGTCAATGAATTTGTAAAAATATTGCCAATGTTACTAACATTCATAGAGGAGCCATCAGTAGAATAAATGTCAAGAAAGGAATTATTTGGCGACATTGAAGAGAAATGAGCAGTAGTTGAAGACATGTGATTACAACAACAGAATCAAAATACCAAGGTTTAGTACCTAGAGTAGTAGATAAGGCAGTAGGAGCATTAAAAAGATTTAATGCTACTTGTTTTATAGATTCAGGGTTGACAATAGGTTGGTCTATCACCTCTTTGGCAACCATTGCAGCAGTAGAATAAGTCACAGTTCTTTCAAAACTCGCCATAGAATCAGTAGAACTCACAATACTGGAAAAATCTTTCAAAAAGTGCCTGAAAATAAACAATCTAATTTGTAGAAGAAGAGAATCCAACGACAAAGTTTCAAATCTGGAATAGATCTGAAAAACCAACTCATAAACCAAACAGTGATGATAAAAAAAAGAAGAACCAAGAACTTATAGTTCTGATACCATGTTAGAAACTGAAAAAAAAAAGAGAAATATCTGAAGAAATGTTTATTGTTTTCTTGAATAATACTGTATGTACAATAACCTATATATAAGTGTTTACAAAAAAAATATTTTAAGGTATAAAATATATAAAGATAATATTTTAAAATATAAAATATTTACAATAAATATGTTTACATCTTAATAGTTCCAACAACTAATATGTATGCCCACGGTGAGTATAGATACTAAATGAATGTAATAATCACTCAGCCGTGAAAAAACTAGTCATAAATTAGTTCTACGGCACAGCAAGTGGGTAGAAGAGTGGAAGCAAAAAGTTTGTCTCCGTTATGCAACTAAGGGTAAAAGAAATTGAAAAAATAAAAGAATAAAAAAGATTATTGCAGACATTTTGATATCAAATTGTTCTGAATTGAATTCTGCATTAACCCCACATGTCTGCCGCTTGTACTCTAGTCTTACCATTCTTTTTGGTTTGAAGAAAATAAATGAGAGAGGAGGGATTTCTTCACTCCACTCTCTTCTTCCGTTTAATTATATTAAAATTTCAAAAGAAAAAAGTTTCTTTCATTTTCTCCTCTCTTTTCTTCTCAAATTTAATATGCTGTATGTTTTAATAGATGATATGATAATTGTCTTAACAAATTGACATAAAATTTCAGGATACATGCTGAAAACTTTACCTTGTTTTATGGTTTTTTGCTAAAACCAATTGAAGGTTTCGTTCGGCGGAAAAAGCCATTGGGTAAGCAGGGAAAGGAATAGAAGTTTGGATTGAGAGTGAATGACAACTTCATTTCATGCTTGCATATGACGGCAGGTGACATGTGTCAAAAAGGCCCAAAAAGAAGGGCCGACCAAACATTTATTTTTGGTAGAAAAGGGGAGACCATGTACCAAAAAAAGAATAGGGCAGACCAAACATGTGGAATTGGTTGGTGGAATAATATTAGGCGTCAACGTGGAAGATAGCCGGATGTGACAGACGGTAGGGATCCAGTCGGTAGTGGGCCGGTGCTGCTCATGCTCTGCCTTCGCCACCGTCGCTGCTGAATTGTACGATTTGCAATCATGCTCTGCTTCTCCTAGTCCCCAAAGATATCATGCATCTCATGCTGAACTCTGCCACTGCCACTCTGCCTCCCATCTAGATTTGCGTCTCTATCGAATTTTTTCCTTCTTGTTTTACCGCAGGCGTAGTTATGCCCACTTATTCATTTACTAAAATTATTAAAATTATATTTAATTTTATTATTATTTATAATTTTTTAATAAAATAATTATGATATTTAAATATATTAATTTATAAATTAATTTTAATTTATTAAATAATTTTAAAATTAATATTTAAAAAAATTAATTTTTTTAAATACATAGTATTAATGTTGGGATGTGCTCTTCATATTATTTAAAAGGTTAAAATTTTTTTTTGGGCCCTGAACTATTGTACGGACCCTCGATTTGGTCCCTAAACTAAAAAAATCTCTGATTTAGTCCCTACTGTTTACCATTTTTACCCCGATTTGGTCCTTCTGTTAAAAACTGTGTGACGTGGCCTGTTACTTCACGGTTACCAGATGACATGTCATATAGCAATCCACGTGGAAGACCAAAAAGTGATGATGTGGAAAAAATAATAATATAAAAAAATATTATGAAAAATATTATTAAATTTTTTTTTCTTTTTTCTTTTTTCCTTTTTTTCTTTCTCCTTTCCCTTTCCCTTTCTCTTTCTCCTTCTCCTCCCCCTTTCTCTTCTCTTTCCCCTCGGAACCCAACAGGCCTGGGTTCCTTGCGAACCCACCCAGGCACTGGGTTCGCAAGGAACCCAAGCGTGCTGGGTTCACATCGAACCCAGCATGCCTGGGTTTGGTGGAACCCAGCACGCTTGGGTTCGGTTCCTTG